CTACTAATAAAATAATTGATAATAAATCTTTAGAAAGAATGGAATTAATAGGATATAAATTAAAATATTCTAATAAAGTATTATTTAATTTTTCTTTAAATAAATAATCAATAGTATTTAAAAATTTTGAATATTTAATTTCTGAAACATGTAACAACAATAATTGAAGTCTATAATAATTATATGGTAAACTTAATTCTTCATGATTTAAAAATAATGGTTGACAAAAAATTTCTATTAAAGCTATTTCTGGTAAATTTTCTTCATTTTCGTAAAACAAAACATATAGAGCAGTGTATTTGTGCTCTATACTTCTTGAGATATGAGCTAAAATTTTAATATCTTCAGGGGTTTTATTATATTTTTCTTCATTATTAAATCGTTTAAGTAAATGATTACATACAGCATCTATTCGTTCTTTATAAAAAAGATCTTGAGTATTCAAATTTTTTTGAATAATATCTAATACAATTTCTTTTTTGTTTTCAAATAAATTTTCACAAATATCAGATAAATATTTAAACGACATTTTAAATTTATTTATCATATAATTATAAAATTTACGACTAACATTTTCACATTCAATATTTATAATTATTTTTATTATAATAAATATTAATAATTAATTACATTTATTATATTTTATATTACATATATAAATAAAAAATAAACTATTTATGATCATTCATCATTCTCAAAGAGACTTTCACAAATGATCGTGCTACCTTTCAAAGTGAGGAGATGGTTAAGAGCACTAACCTATTCAAAAACCATTCCTTATCGTAGCATTTGGTCGAATATAATTTTTTATTTCATATCGTATCATATCTTGAGTTTGTGTTGTGACGAATTACGCAATGAGATTCTTAGGGAAGCTATAAGCTTTTTTTAAACTAAGAACTTGGAAATATGCTACTATCACAATGAAGCCTTTCAACAAATACAATACGATATTTTTTTTTTATCAATTATTAAAAAAAATCATATTCGATACTTTTCAACAGAATCAATTTCATTCCTTATTTATAAAGATTATTTATTAATTCATTTGTATATTAATTTCTATATTAGATTTGTGTAAAACTTATTTTTAATATAAATAATAATATTATTAATCGTAAATAAATTTATTTTTTATTTAGACACTATAAACAAAAATTCGGACACTATAAAAATATTATTAATCCTAAAATAAATTTATATTTTATTTAAACATTATCAACAAATTTTCAGACACTATAAAAATAAAAATTATGTAGTAAAATCAATAGATTTAAATTGTACTCGTTGCTTTAAAAAATTAATATTATCAATTATAACATTCTTTAATATTACTTGTGAATATTTTTCTTCTTTCAATTGTTCGTTATTAATATTGTAATTAATTACAATAGAATTTTTCTTTTCTTCTTTTTTATTTGAGATTTTTCGACTTCGATTCTTTGTTTTTCGTTTAATTTTTTTTGTCTTGTTTTTCATCTCCATTTCTTTGTATTCTTCCATATGATGATTTTTAAAATGTCTTTTCATAGAAGAAATACTCGTTGTTGTTTTGTATGAAGTTTCACATACATTACAAATATATTTTGTTTTTTCACTATTATCATGAAAATAGTTCCAAATCGCATCATATTTTTTTTTGTTATTCATTTCTGTTCATTTTTTAATCAAAGTGTCCAAATATTTAAATATTTTATATTAATACTGATATAATTGAATAAAATCTAAAATTGACGATCAAGTAATACATGATAGAAAATCGGAATGTTCTATCTTTTTATCTTTGTGAAACATTTTAAGATATTCCTTATTTAACAAATTCGGATAAAACTGTATCCGATATTCTCTTTAATAAACCTATATTTGTAATAATCTTATTTACAACAAAAATATTTATTCGTAAATATAAACATCCTAAACAAATTATATCTAATAATTTAATGTTTATTATTAATTAAATTTAGTATATAATAAATAAGTGAATCGAATAAAATTTATGAATCATTCAAAATATGATTAAATCTAAGAAACAATATCCTATTTGGGCTTATTTTCCCTCTAATGATTTAACCAATTCTCATATTTGTTCACAATGTAATCGTTCTTATCAAAAGAAACATGATGAGAAAATACTTGAAACAGTATTAAAAAATCATTTTATGAATAAACATAAAGAAATTTGGAAAGAAATTAGATATAGTACAAAAATCGGAAGTGAAAAGGGAAAAACAAGACAAAAAATTGTTTCTTATAATGAAACAGAAGAAATATCTTCTCCTTCAACCACCATTATTGAGTCAAATGATGAAACTTTAGAGCATCTTCAACTTGAAGAATTTCAAGATAACAATAAAGAAAACCAAATTTCTACTCAAGAAAATACTATTGGTATTTATTCTACTGATAATTCTAATATGATTAGAAATATTAAAAGTATCGAACTTGATTATGGTAGAAATTCTAGTATTGAAATTAGTTCTGATAGAATTTTTTTTTTTTTTTTTTTTTTTTTTTAACCTTAAGCAGTTATGCTAGTACTTTATTAAGATTCTTGAAACTATTTA